AAACAGACGCAAATCTCCCAAACTCATTCTGCTACCAAACCCAGGTAAAGATATAACCAAAAAAGAAAACTGCAGGCCGATATCCTTGATGAATATAGATGCCAAAATCCTCACTAAAATACTAGCAAACAGAATACAACAACACATACGTTAAATTATTCACCACGATCAAATGGGATTCATCCCAGGAATGCAAAGTTGGTTCAACATATGCAAATCAATAAATGTGATACACCATATTAATAAAGTCAAACACAAGGACCATATGATCATCTCTATAGATGCTGAAAAAGCATTTGATAAAATTCAGCACTAATTCATGACAGAGACCCTCTATAATTTAGGTATAGAAGGAAAGTATCTCAACATAATTAAAGCCATATATGACAAACCAACTGCCAATATCATCCTGAATGGGGAAAACCTGAAAGGTTTTCCTTTAAGAACAGGAACCAGACAAGGATGCCCACTCTCACCACACCTATTCAACATAGTGTTGGAAGTACTAGCCAGAGCAATCAGAGAAGAGAAGGAAATAAAGGGCATCCAGATTGGAAAAGATGAAGTCAAACTGTCCCTGTTTGCAGATGACATGATCCGATATATCGAAGAGCCTAAAACCTCCACAAAAAAAATTTGGAATTGATAAATGATTTCAGTACAGTAACAGGATACAAAATCAACACACAAAAATCAGTAGCATTTCTTTTCTCCAATAGTGAACAGGCAGAACGAGAAATCAAAAAAGCCTGCCCATTTACAATAGCCACCAAAAAAATAAAAACCTTAGGAATTGAGTTTACCAATGATGTGAAAAATCTCTATAATGAGAACTACAAACCACTGTTGAGAGAAATTAGAGAGGATACAAGAAGATGGAAAGATATCCCATGCTCTTGGATTGGAAGAATCAACATGGTAAAAATGTCCATACTACCCAAAGTGATATACAAATTCAATGCAATCCCCATCAAAATTCCAAAGACATTTTTCTCAGAAATGGAAAGAACTATCCAGACATTATATGGAATAATAAAAGACCATGCGTAGCCAAATCAATGCTGAGCAAAAAAAAATAAAGCTGGAGGCATAACACTACCTGACTTTAAGCTATACTACAAAGCTATAATAACCAAAACAGTATGGTACTGGC